GTATAACATGCAACGTATCTATGGATCTATATCATGTAACATATGTGTGCATATATAACCTGTGTGTATATGTAATATATATGTATGTGTGTATGACAACATATGTATGTATACATACATGCATAGAATAATATGCATATATATGTGTATATGTGTGTGTGTGTATATATATACATATATATGCTTAGAATAATACGTGCATAGAATAATACGCATATATGTATGTATGTATGTATATGTGTGTGTGTATATATATATACATATATATGCTTAGAATAATACGTGCATAGAATAATACGCATATATGTATGTATGTATGTATATGTGTGTGTGTATATATATATGTATATCTTGAAGCTGTATCATGTGATACATCATAGTTCTTATGACCTAGTGGTGAATCTTTGTAAAAATATGAAACATATTTATTTATCCCGATTAGTGCTTTTCATCTTTAATTTGATTTCATTCCACATTAACAGTGTTATAACTGCTGCTTACATTTGTCTGATAAATACAAGGAGAATTCAGAAAGTTCAGAGAAAAATGGAATTTTTCCACAAACTTTTTGAGATCCCTTCATATTTTCCATATATCAGAATCACCTCAGGATCTTGTTAAAATATAGATTCTTATTCAGTATATCTGGAGTGGAAAGTCAAATTCTCAACAGGGGGTCAAACCAGAATGAAGGCAGCGTGACTAGGGGATGAACTAGGTCCCACTGAAGTAATTCAACAAATTACCCTAGAAATATCCCAGGACCTTTTCCTTCTGCAACAAAAACTGTAGCCTTCTCCTATGCATGTTCTGGGTTAAATTTCTGTCTTTAATTCAATCCTGTATTCCCATGCCAGATATTTCTCAGTTTTTGGTTCACTGGTTACAGAATTTGATATTATAAAATATTTTTCTATTATTTTTAGGGGTAAGAGAGAAGGTTACAATACATGGGGGCTTCAAATAGTTTTCAGGAAAAAATGCAACCTTTTCATTCCATTTTCCATTCACATTTTGAAGCCCCCTGGCCCCATATTTGCTCTGAGGACCAACTGAAATTTCTTTAAGTTTTTTTTAGAGCCTGTAATTGTACTAATGGCTAATTTATTATATTGTTATTGTTGTTTTTAAGTGCTGTCGAGTCGGTTCCAACCCACAGAGACCCTGTATAGAGTTTCTAAGAAGCAACTGGTGAACTTGAACCACTGACCTTGTAGTTCAAATGGCTTTGTAGTCCAGTGCATTAACCCACAGTGCCATACCAGGATTCCAATTTCATATATTAGCTAACTCCAAATAAACTGTGTCCTAAGTGCAGCAATTTATTATTTCATTTTGAAACTAAGTATGTTGTTGCTGCTTGTTGCTAAGTGCCATTGAGTCAGTTACATCTCATAGTGACCACAGCGCCACATCAGGACTCCTGAAACTAAGTATTGTTATTGTTGTTAAGTGCTGTCAAGTCGATTCTGACCCATAGCAACCCTGTATAGGGTTTCCAAGGAGCAACTGGTGAGCTTGAACCACTGACCTTGCAATTCAAACGACTTTGCAGTCTGGCACATTAACCCACAGCGCCACACCAGGACTCCCGAAACAAAGTATGTTGTTGTTGTTACATGCTGTCGAGTGGATTCTGACCCATAGCAACCCTTTATAGGGTTTCTAAGGAGCAGCTGGTGAGCTTGAACCACCAACCTTGCAGTTCAAACATTAGCCCACAGTGCTGCACCAGGACTCTGGAAACTATCTATAGTGCTTATTAAAAGACGAATACATACCTGTGTATCATTTTCTTTTTGTTGGAAGTCAGTATTGGCAAGCTTCACAGAACTTTCTTCTTTTTTATCTGGGTTATTAAATGGTACTATTTCAAATCAGTTCCAAAGACCATCATTTACAATACCCAATATTTAACCTAATCTTATCATTTAAAATATCAAATATACATTATTTAAATTTAAATGTATGATTATAAAATTATTAAACAACTCTTAATGTGAACTCTAAATGTGAAATGAAAACCAGCTGACCATATCACACCTTTCTAACAGACAACCCATGACAGAGTGGTGATTATAATAACCAGAGCTTCGAACTTCCTGGTTCAGGCACGATTGATGAAGTGAAGCTAGAAAAGACCCAAATTTATAAAGTGTGGGTGTACCAGAATGATAACCGGAAAAATTACTGCTTGATGCCCTACTGAATCTCTTTTCTAGAAAACAAAAGTGGTGTGTGCATTGCAGAGCAAACAAATCTGTTGACTGACAGAGGTCAGAACAACTGTACTCAGCTCAAAGATGGCACTAACTGCATCACTTTGAATGTGTGTCATTCTTAGCAGTCCTGATACTAGTTCACTCTCCCACATCAGCCACCTGAATAGGTTCATTATGCCTCTTCCAAGTCTTCTGTTCTAGACCTTTGAGTTATAACTTTTTCCCATTTCAATTATTCCGGAATATCCACATTTTACAATTTGAGATCTGTTTTGATTTTACAACATGGGTCATGACTAAAACGGTTCACACTGGTTCAAAGCCCTGTTGACAACTGAAGACAAAAAAAAAAAACCAAAAAAACACCCCAATAAATTTAATTAATCTAGTCTGTAGATTCATTGGATCAAATGTAAATGTAATTCAAGTATCTCAGTGACTAAGTCACAAACATCATTAGTACAAGCTACCTACTCCTCACCACCACAA